GTGTCATAATTTGCACTTAATATCTCATAATACTGAGATACTATGTGTGCTATGAGGGCGTCCATAAACAGATCCAGACTTCAATGGGTACTTAAAGGGGATTTTACAAGGGAATAGCCAAAAATCTGTGCAGCAGAGGCCAGGATGTCCTGTCTTTTAGTACCTGGTATTGGGTCAAGCTCCAAAAACACTGGACTACATCGCACTCTGGCAAAGTGTAGAACTGAACATGACCAGTAAATTGACCTTCATGTGTAAGATTAGTGAAATGCCCCTTTAAATATTCCCATCAGCAACCACCAGGCAACAAGCTGGAAACCACCTCAACCACACCTGCTAATAAAGATTGAAAAGATAATCTCATAACACTTGAACCTGTTGTGTAAAACCTGACTTTACATTTGATGTGAAAACATGTTTTGTTTTGTTTATTCATTTCAGTACAGTCGGTGTTTTATCACAGCACTGCAGCTGCACACGTTTTCAGCTCTGATATCAACACTCAGCTGCTGATCAATAGTTCAGATACATGATGTGGTTGATTTTCAGATGAGTAATTACACTGGATGTTTCAGAGTGTCTCCCCCTATGACTCAGTTTCAGTCTGGCCCTGTTGTGCTCTTTAAGGTAGAACTGAAACAGTTAGTTTAATTTTTTAACCAAAAATACCATTTGCAGTTTTCAGCTTGAACATGAGAGGATGTGTTACTTTTCTCTGTTTTAAAGCAATAAAAATGAAATCGTTGGGACCTCTGAAAACATCACCTTAAACTGGGGAAACTGATAGCTGATGTTTTATAGATCTAATTAATAGAGAAAATACTCATCAGTTTAATTGATAATTGCAATAATCATTACTCATACTTTCAGTATGCATAATGCTGCCAGAAAACAGATAAAAAATGTTTTATTTCCTTCCCAGGTTTCCCCGCTAAGAGTGCGGTAGACTTGAAATGAAAAACATTAAACAACAGCATTGTGAGTTGTTAACGGTTTTTCTGCCACAATGTGATACTGTTTCTGAAATGGTAAATTTATTGACTGTATATTTGACAAACTGGCCCAGCTTCACATTACTAATTAACTGATCCTTAATGTCAGCGTGCTAGTTATGCCTGCGTTTTGGTCAGTTAGTCCTTTATCATGTTAGCTAGTTAACGCTAATAAAATCGTATCTTTATTAGTTAGTCCTTCATAGTTAGCAGTCATTAGTTAGCTGGCATCATCATCAATAAATGGCAGCTAGCAGTCTGTCCTCCATCAACTAGTAGGTTAACAAACTAGTCCTTTGTGAGTAAGCTAAGTAGTAAGTTGCTAGTTAGTTAATCAGTCCTTTGTGTCGCTAGTCCTTTATCTGTCAGGAGAATGCATCAGCTAACACTTGTCTTTTGTTTTCTGGCTAGTTAGTAAACTTTTTCTTCATTAGCCAACTATGCTCTGATATGTTACATATAATTTTTATTGGGAATGTTATAGATAATTTGGCAACTTTACTCTAGCAACTAGCAACTAGCAACTCTAATCATTTAGAAATGAAGTTGGTTAATAAACTGAAAATTTAAGGCTGTTATCCAGTTGTTTTCTTTATGTTTAGGGGTTTATGTTGATTGCTACAAAGCTCTTTCTTAATCTGACTTAAACTCCAGATGGAGCCTCCGGCGGAAAAATAAAACCCCAACATATTATTATTTTACTATTTTAAATGTAAACTGTGGTCTATCCTGACTGAACTGTATAATGAAGACAGATTGTATCTTTTGGGTCAAACAGGAAGTGACCAAAATGTTTCCTAAACCAACTCACCCTGACCACTGATGAACACACACACACACACACACACGCACACGTATGCATACCCACACACATTCACTCCCTCCTCAGATATCTGTTTCTCCTCTGCTGTCGCTCCGACACACACACACAGAGGGAGGTAGATAACTCTGTGATTCCACTGCTGAATTTTTAACGCTGTTGTGGAACTTTTTTTTTTCCAGGCGGGTTACTGTGGCACCAGGGTACTGTTACACCGACAGAGACAGAGAGGCAGGTTTCAGTTCAGTTCTGTTGTGTACTGAGGCTGGACAGAGACAGGCTGTTCATGGGGTGTACGGTAAGTCCACTATCTGTCTATCTGTCTATCTGTCTATTGCATGTTATGTCCTGAGTTTTTTTTATTTTTTTATAGCATTTTCTTACAACTTTCTTTTTCACATCAGTCCAAAATAATCATAAAAAAAATTATATCAGCACATGGGATTTTAAGATATTTTGCATGTAAAAGCTTACACGCACAATATCACATGTTGTTGATGAGCAGATGTGGTTTTCAGATATTTGACACAGAAAGTGTCTTTTTGAAATGCAAAACATAGTTTTATTCTGCTTTTCTTTAAATAAGGGGTTTCACTTTAACCGAGAGCAACTGATGTATTTCATCAACTCTTTTCTACTAGCTACCGAGCAGTCATTTAACAGTGACCTTTGACCTCAAGAATGTCTGGTGCTTGTAGTTCTGTTGTGGATGAATAAGCAGAAACTTAATATATATGAAATAAAATATAATTACTGGTGATGAGAATCGACTTTTGCAGGATTTGAAGCTGTTTATTAAATATAAGCTACTGTTAGTTTACTCACTTCCAGAGGCAGGAGCTTTGACCTGGTCTGACTTGCCTTCACCATCACTGACTGTTGTACTTGGCACCTTTTAATACTTGAATTATTTATTGTAGGAGGTTTGTTTGTGTGTCTGTGCTCTCTTATGTTTAGCAGAGGTTTTCATTAGGTCCATTCAGAGTAACCAGGTTTCTAAATGTTACTTGTCTAATCAGTTTTTAACATTTTTGAGTTAAAAGGAAACGTCACATTGACTCAGTGAACTGAATGCAAGGTTTTTGTTGCTATTTAAAGAGAAATGCCAGTTTCAAACAAAACATATAAACGACAGCACATAATCCTACAAAGCAGCCACAGACATCAGAACATAATAAAGGTGTAAATTACAACCCATTTTGCTGATGCGAATCATTTCCTTCAGTTCACAGTCCTAAGATTTGAGTCACTGACAACAGTATGTAGTTTGTTTCCTTTTTAATAAGCTAAATGTTCTCATCACTGTTCAGATGTAAGTAAACACATCACTTTTCATCGACACCATGACATTTGCGGCGACGATTCAGACTGTCTTGAAGTCATATGTTCAGTCTATTGCTGCTTGAAGCTGTTACATTCAGCACCATTTATAGGTTATAAGTTCAGCAGCTGTCTGTCTGCAACAGAATTGTGACTTTTATTCTTTTAATAAACTTTCAACCAAAGAGTGTCACAGCTGAGCAGACATCTGCACTCGCTAAGTGGAGCTCAAATGCAAACAGCTGCTGATTCAGTTGGTGAAGTCGGTGATTCAGTCCAGTCGGATCACTCTGAATTTTCTGTGTGAAAGATTTGTTCATACATGAACTCAACACCTGTAGAACGTAAACAATCATATTAATAAACAGTATTTGTGCTAGACTTGAAGTTTTTTTTCTCAGGTTACAGTAGGATCAGAGAACAGAGTTACAGAACTGAGAATTTCACTTTTCCACAGTTCCGCTCTAAAGTAAAATGTTGCTACTATAACTTTCGCCTTCCTTGGAAAAAACTTTATTTATTCTTTTTTTATTTAATCTTTATTTAACAAAGACGTCTCTTGAGATATATTATCTCTTATATAAGAAAGACTTGACAGGATAGTTACACAAACTCACATTAAAAGAATCACATTCACTGTGCTGTGCACAGTGTTGTATATGTGCTTTTTGAATTACATTACATTGACTCATTTGGCAGACGCTTTTATCCAAAGCAACTTACAAGTGAGAGAAATCACTAAAGCTTCAGTGCAGTAGGAGACCTTGGCATAAGTACTAAGTACTACAACTGTTTAATAAGTGCAAGGGGATCAAATAAAGCAGTGCACTTAAGGTCCACAGTAAGTGCTAGTTAGGCATGTTAGAGGTGTTAGGAGAGGAGGTGCTCTCGGAAAAGATGAGTTTTCAAGAGATTCTTGAAGATAGAGAGGGACGCCCCTTCTCTGATTCCTCCATTCCTTTAGCCATGCCGATATGTCAGAGAGACAAGCCAAGATCCGTGCAGAGACCGTGGGGTCGCCTGGCGGGAATGACAGGTATAGATAGGTGTTGTCTGCGTAGCAATGATATGAGAAGCTTTTGGTGCAACTATCCTGTGAGTTAACACTGTGTTTCACTGCCCTCTCTGTGGCACCTGTAACCACACCCAAAGGTGCACTTCCACATCACAACAGGAAGGTGAGAAGCTAAAGCACTGGTCTGTTGACCTTTCTCTGAATATTAAAGCAGCTATAGTCAATACTTTATGACCACAGTCAAATGACAACATGAAAACGGTGTGAAAGGGGTGGCTCGTAAAGGTGAACCTATAGAGTTATCACCTGAATCTGCAGCTCCTCTCAGCTCTGTGGAGCTTTATAATGTTTCAGCTCATTGTTCAACTGTCCAACAGCACCGATAATGTTTTGTTTCACTGTCACTGCTCTCCTAGCTTCATTTCAGCCTCAGCTGGCAGATTTTTTTTTAGAGAAAAGTCTCTAAAAACCCACTTTACACTATCTGCACATCACCTAACAATTAGTGACTAGCTGGCGAACGTAGAGGAGCATTTAACAGCTGAAGAGCCGCATATTCAGGAGTTGGTTGAGACCACAAACAGAGCTAGAAGAGAATGAATATTGGACTTACATTCATCAGGTGGCCAGACGCTAATGTTGCTCCTAACAAGTTCACCACATCAAGTTAAAAAAGCATGACACAGTATGATTATGTTCACAATTTGTTTATGCTGCCCCAAAGTGGCAAAGAAAATCTGTTACTGAAAGCTTAAACATTTTAAAGACCATAGTGGACCTGACTGTTCTGAGCCTGACTTGTCCTGTCTCCTCATTCAGGCCTTTCCTGTCCCGATGCCATTACAATAGCAACATGACCCTCAACACCCAGAGAGAAAAGGAGCCCCTGCGGCGGCGAGGCAGTACGCCGATTCCTCCCACTCACTTTTACCAGTACTCGTCCTGTACTCGGGACGCCCGGGTCCCCAGCAGCACCCATCAAGACCCAGAGCAGCCCCGTCCCCAGCGAAGCCACCCTGCTCTTGGACAGTCAGCCTCCTACCACCCTGGAGACAAGTCCCTCCACTACCGCGCCCACTGGAGTTCAGACTCGGATGACGACTCGCAGAGCGACTCGGACTGTGTTTACAGAGTTGTGTTGCTAGGCGACCATGGTGTCGGAAAGACCAGCCTCGCAGGCATCTTTGCTGGGATCACGGAAAAAGATGAGCAACCTGGAGGTGGGACTTTACAGGTGTATCTTTTATAATGGTGGTCGATGGGGAAAATGCTTTTTGGACAGCAGGAAATGTTTTTAGTTTTTAGTTGCAGTACAGAAGTTGACCACTGGGTCAAACTGGCAGGGGACCAACCTGGCAGGATGTATTAAAGGAAAAGTTTCACATTTTGGGAAATACGCTTATTTACACTATTGGCAAAAGTTACATGAGAAGATTAATACGACTCTCTTGTCTGCACAGTATAAAAATATGAAGCTACAGGCGGCAGCCAACTCACTGAGCTTAGCACAAAGACTGGAATCAGGGGGAAACATCTCGCCTGGCTCTGTCCGAAGATAAGAAAAAAATCTGCCAAAAATTTCATAAAGTGTTGGATTATTTCTAAACAAACAAGATACATCATGTTAATTAGTGGGCTTTAGAGGTGCTAATGAGTGTATTCACATTGAAAGCACAGACTGCAGACAGGGTAATGATCCTCTCATCTAACTCTTGGCAAGAAAACATATAAATGCATTTCCCAAAATGTTGAACTTTTCTTTTAAGAATCTTAATCAAGAATATATTAAAAGAACACTATAGTGGTTTTCCACATTGAGACCAATTTACGGGCCATAGTTTGTTTTTCACAGCCTGTGACCTCTGCTGTTTCTTACACGTTCAACAACTTCATGGAAGTGACAGACTGAGTCCTCCTTTTATTATTTTGCTGTAACGTTTACCCTCTAACTCAGTCCTCAGAGGTTCAGTGCTCAGTTTCTGTCTCTGACTTTGTTCTCACATCACAACCTTGACTGACCCGACACAATTGATCAGCTCCTGCATCACGTGTTGATCGGCCTGAGGCCTCGATTGACACCCTGTATTGATCTGACATGATGTGAGAGGGCAGAGCCTGTCTGCTGTCAGTTTTCAGGTTGACTGGTCACACCCTCTGGATTAGTTCTAAATGTTATTATTGTTAGTGTCGTATGCTCAAAGTCCTGATGATGTTGTTTGCTTTAGTTTACTAACTGCATTGTTATTGTTGCTTGTCGTTTGACTGTTTAACGTTATTGTTTGTCTCTGTTTGACCACACACAGACAAAGTGGCTATGATTTCTTGTTGGTCCTCCATGTTACCTGTTGTTTTTAGCCACACTAGCGACATGACTTTGGGGATGAAATTGTTGGGTGGATGGTGAGTCAGTCACCACTTTGTTAAAGACTGAAACTTCTCCACTATTGGAGAGATTGTCATGAAATTTGTGAATGTTACAAATTTGGTTATCCCCAAACTTTTCAAAGTTTGGATTTGTGTTGTATATATATTCTTTAGTATATGACACAATACCTGCAAAACTAATGACATTCCCATCAGTCTCTGCTGAACTTTGTCTTTAGTCCTAAATAGAAAATACTCGTATTCTTACATATAACGTTTATGCTACATTATGAAATTATAATGTTTGCCGTGATGAAAATCGTAAACATTGTACCTGCTTAACATCAGCATTTTATTGTCATTGTGAACATTAAAAGATTATGGATCAAAACATCGCTGTGTTTAAAAGAGCTAGTAGTAAGTTTTGCTATTGCTACACAGCCAGCGTTAGCATGAACAGCTGTTTGCTTACCAGTCTTGCATTGAGTTTCAGCCATCGCTGTGTTTACAAGACGTTATAATACGTCCTCTGAGAGGCTACTTCCTCAGGGGCAGACTGAACACTACACTGACTCAGTATTGGAAAGTGACGTGGTGAGCCAACCAGGCTGATGCTAGCTAGTTAGTTTGTAAACGTCAGTAGAACAAAAGGGTTGCTGTTCATCGCTGGAGACGCTCTTGGCCATTAAAAGAATGAAGTTTGATGCCGAACTCGCAGAGTTTGTTCTAAACTATAGCAAATAAACAGCTGCTGATGCTAATATTGGCCATGTAGCAATAGCAAAACTTACAAATAGCTCCTTCAAGTACAGCCTCACAAGGCTGCCAGCATGACTTCATATTCTCAGTCTTGCTATTTATTGTTTGTGTTTATTGTTTGTTACAGAGGACACATACGAGCGAACACTGACAGTAGATGGAGAGGAAACCACTCTCATTGTCATGGACACATGGGAGAATGACAAACTGGTACAGTGAATGTGTGTGTGTGTGTGTGTGTGTGTGTGTGTGTGTGTGTGTGTGTGTGTGTGTGTGTGTGTGTGTGCGCGCGTATCTGTGTGTGTGTGCGCGTATCTGTGTGTGTGTTGATGAAGTACAGAGCATGAGACGTCTGAGTCTATAATCTCAAGATCATACATGTGTTATGCTCAGATCACAAAATGCCATTTACCAAGAGAATATTTGCTATTTTCATTTGGATAAACTTTATTAAAAAAAAGGCTAATTTCCCAGAATGCTCTGTGTCTTTTAGAATATGAAAGTTCACAAAAAGTGATCCGTTAAAGTCTGGACTTTTAAAAAAACATAAGATGATTCTCTCTCTCTCCCTCTCTGTGTCTGTGTCAGGAGGAGGCGGACAGCTCCTCTCAGGACGAGTGTCTGAAAGTGGGGAGTGCTTATGTCATCGTCTACTCTGTCACCGACCGCTCCACCTTCGACTCCGCCGCTGAGCTGCGCATCACACTGCGACGCACCCGTCAGGCCGAAAACCTTCCCATCATCCTTGTGGGCAACAAGAGCGACCTGGTGCGGTCCAGAGAAGTTGCTGTGGAAGGTGCGGGGTCAAAGGTCACAGGGGATACATACAGTGGCTTCAGAAAGTATTAAGACCTCTTCACTTTTAGACTTGAAGGTTGCTGAATTGTGTACTTTTGTAAGTGAGAGGTTTCAGTTCTTGATTTTTACTAAATTAGCAAATATTTCTAAAAACACGTTTTCACTTTATCATTGTCGATTGATGGGCAAAAATGGAAATTCGATCTATTTAAAATTAAGTCTTCAACTCAATAAAATGTGCAAAAAGGGAAGCGGTCTGAATACTTTCTGAAGCCACTGTACAAATGCAAACAACAAATGGCTTCAAACAGGTAACGATCGACTGATGTCACTTCCTGTTTAAGAATTCTTTGATGTTCTACATATGTCTTTTTTCCCCAGAGGGCCGAGCGTGTGCGGTGGTATTTGACTGTAAGTTTATAGAGACGTCCGCGTCTCTGCAGCACAACGTGACCGAGCTGTTTGAGGGCGTGGTCCGACAGATCCGTCTTCGTCGGGACGGCAGTGAAGCCATTCAGCGCCGACGCTCCATCTACAAACGCAAAGAGAGCCTTACCCAGAAGGCTCGGCGGTTCTTGGACCGATTGGTGGCGCGCAAAAACCAGCGCATGGCGGTCAAAGTGCGGTCCAAGAGCTGCCACGATCTTGCTGTCCTCTGAAGACATGCGTCCACTGGGTGGCGCCAAGTTTATTTTTTTTGTTGACTCGTTGAAGATCTCGTTGGTTGTGATATCCTGGAGGAATGTGTCAGCAATCACACTCAGCTAGCTGAAAGCCACACAGACAAGAACAATGAGCGGCTAACAGAGTCAGCGCGTTTTAACATTCTCACTGTGACCAACTTGTTTTCACGTTCGACCTCCGGGTCTAAACATTTCTGTGACTCTTCCTCCAGATGACCTAAATATAAAGATCCCAGATGACTGTACGGGATCATCACTGTAGGGTTAAAGACTGGACGAGTGTTCAGTGTGGGAGTGGGCCTGTGTGTGTGTGTGTGTGTGTGTGTGCGAGATTGTGTCTGTATATGTACACGGGTAACTGTTAACTCCATCATGGAGGATGTCCTGTAGTTTCCACTGTGCTGTTCTCCTGAAGTTTCTACTGTTTTCAGTTCAACGCTGTGCAGAATGAAGTCTTAAAGGAACAGTCATCTCAAAATCATGTTTTTACAGACGTTTAATACAGATGGCACCACTGTGATATAAATGTTAATTTACACTCATTTCCTTATTGTGTTCTTTTGTTTGGTTTTTATTATTTATAACTGACCTTTCATGAACCCCCTCCTCTGAACAGTGATTGTCCAATCATAGCCTAGATACTGTAATTGGGCACGACAGGTGTGTCACTCTTTGAAGCTGTAGTAAGAGTTTACAAAAAGTGGGAGTAGAGGGTGGTGTGTTTTTTTAGTATAAGGAATGGTTGGCAGTGTGTTTATCTTCTCTAATGTTAGCACATCTAGGTAACTAGCTTACTACCAACAGGATTTACTTAACGTTACATCCAAAGCCAAGAGTTAGCATATGACAAGCTAACTACATCCATTTGTGGGGTCACAGTTTGTGTAAATGCCCCGTTCAGGACTGGAACATCCACTGTGTGGCAGTCAGTCCTGAATGATATCAGAGTTTAGATTAACGTTAGCCGCACACTGTCCTTGTAGCATGATATCATGCTCATGTTCATTTTTAAAATAAGTCCAGCTCCCATTAAGTTAATTAGCCAGCTAGCTACAGCCGGGGGAATAAGCCTTAGTGTTTCAGTAAAATTGACAATTGTTCACTTCCGTCTAAAATCAAGGACACAATGTCAATGGTGAATTTTATCACAGTAAACTGTGTATGTGCCACGAGAGAATGTAAACCTTGACAGGAGTAGCGACAGTAACTAAGAAGTGGAGGCTAAGTGAATGCTCAATTGTCTTTTTCTATTTTAGATCATTTCATTTAGTTTTAAAGAATTATCTTCATTTTAACTTAAATTTTTTTGTGTTTTTATTGGATTTATTTTATTTCCACAGTTTGTCTGTTGTATTTATGTGGTTTACTCAGATTTGATTTATCTCTTTGCTCACTTTTTTATTATTTTATTTAGTTTTTTTATGATTTGATTTAATGTTAAATTATTAATCTAATCCTCTCATATGTTTTGTTTGCTTGTTTTATTCACTTGTAATCTCCTGTCTGCAGGAGAAGCACGGATCAAACCTCTGTGATCCACTTCACATAAACACTCTCAGACCGCTATGTCAACCCATGCGGGCCTCCTGGATGTTTACTGTTGCCACGGTGACCTGTGGACTGTTAGCCACAGTTGAAGAAGAGGCACAGCAGCCGTCATGACGACATGGTTACAGGCTGATACCTCTGTGTGGTTGACAAAAAACAGGCTGAGTGTTCAGCTGATGGATGGGACAGTGTCTCACAGTGGGACTTTTCTGCCCTGAGTTCAACCCCTCGGGCTGCACACAGTCCCTGTCTGCTGGGAACCGTACGCAGCCCGACTGGCTGCAGGAATGAATGAATGTTAGCTTGCTAATATTTGCTAATTAGCACTAAACATTAAGTACAGCTGAAACTGATGGGAATGTCATTAGTTTTGCAGGTATTAAGTCTTAAATAAAAGTAATGGACAAATTAAAATGTTGACTTCATAAGGGCACTAGATATTTTTATAATTTATAATAGTTGTTGAGACATTTCACTCAAAACCACAAATGTCAGCCTGCTGGTGGCGCTACAGGAAAAGTCAGGTCATCACTGAATCACTCGTTCATTTTCACAAGAAGTGAACAGAAATTTAGCCGAGCCGCTGTGAAATAACAACAAACTGGTTTAACTCAGCAGCAGTTTATCTGGATACAACATCAGACAGACTGGTTGTCCCAGTTTTTACTGATCAAATATCCTATCTGTTTATTGATCAGGCATTTTGGTGACACACTCACACACACTGTGGTTGTGCAGGGACAGTAGATGGAGGAGGAGTGTTGAACATTGATTTGATGAGGGTAATGGAAAGAATGCATGACTCTGCTCAACCCGGATGACACACACACACACACACACACACACACACACACACACACACACACACACACACGAACATACAGTGATGTGTAAACATCCTCTCAGTGGAGGAGGACCAGAGGCTCAGAGCTGTGAGTTCAGCCCCCTCTTGAATCTGTTATGAACAGATCAGATCATCAGATCACAACATCAGAAAAATTGCCTCCATGTTTCTTCTCTGAGGTGTAAACGTTGTGGAGAAGATTTTCTCAAGGCTGATTTTTACAACTGATGACATTGCTGGACCTGTAGGACCTTCTTCTTTCTCTTCAGTTGTTTAATTTCCAGCAGTGTAGATGAAACTGTTGTAAGGCTAATGTGGATTATTATCTCATGGCTAACAGAGGTTTAGTAAGGACAGCTGATATAATTTACGTCATGTAAACCCCTGCGGCTCTGCTGACACCAAAGTATAATTTGAGCTTTTCTTTTCAATGCTGCAATACTGGCAGATAATCTGAAGAAAATATTAATAGGATTCAGCTAATTATACAGATTTTGCCACTTGTTAATGAACCGATATGTAACACAATGAAAGTAGCTAATTTTGGCTTAATTTCATGTAATATGTTGTGACTACAAGGCTAGCAGTGGATTAACTGTTTGATTATCTTAGCTCAAGGCTAACAGGAGACCTGTTTGTTTTGGTTCAAATGAACTCTGGTGCATTTGCCCATTTAGTAAGGTTTGTTTGAGCTGGTCTAAAAGTAAGCAACTGAAGTCCCTGTCTAAGAAAACAGGACATATTGCAGTTTATGGCACCTGTACTCTGATTGCCCCAACCACAAGATTTTATGATAATAGATGTGATTTTAGCATAAATTAAAAAGCCAAACTTCTTTTAAATCATTTGCTAATCATGAACTGTTCAGTAACCATGGTTACATGTGTAAGTGTGGAATTTTCTGTGATCAATTAGAAATTGAGAAGGTGTTTAGCCAGATTTGATGGTGGGTCCATTTAATGCCAATAAATAAATAGATAATAATATTGACAGTGAAATTAAGAATTAAAAGAATAAAATTAAATAAAAAGGATTCTAAATCTCTTTAAATAGCTCCTGAAGCATGCAGGAAGTGTGTGCATATTTAAGAATAAATAGACTCGTTGTAATTGAGTTAAATTCAGTAATGAATAGTTGCATGAGAGTTAGTAAATTTCGACTTGATGAATGATGAATATGAAATTTCCCTCATAAGATTAAAAGCTTAACAGTGGAGTTGCATCCTCAGGGCTAGTAAGGGTTTTTAGCTCCAATTTTCAAAGTAAGTTTTCCATACAAAACATAAAAAACATAAGCTGACCGACTCTCTCCTTCTCACAGTGACAGAAAACACTGTGAACAGCTAAATGCTGAGCTGTAAACAGACCTGAAAGCTTCAGACTTAGCGAGAGAAACTCTGTTGTACCTGTGTCTGAACACACCGTCAGTGACCTGACCATTATTCTAAAGGACATTTCAAACATTTCAGCCCTTTTGAGGTGTGCTTGATTTACTGACACAGAGGAGAGAACACAGAAAATCAAACACCCCCCCTGTGTTTATTTAAACTGTACAGTTTCCTCTGTGACTGTCTCTGTGTCTGTGGTTCGGGTTTCAGACGTCGGTACTGTAACTCTGCCTCTTTATTCACTCACTCACACACACACTCTCTGACTCTGCCAAGAACTACAGGAATGTAAACTGAAGAAACTCTGCCAGCAGTAAGAGTGTGTGTGTGTGTGTGTGTGTGTGTGTGTGTGTGTGTGTGTGTGTGTGTGTGTGTGTGTGTGTGTGTGTGTGTGTGTGTGTGTGTGTGTGTGTGTGTGTGTGTGTGTGTGTGTGTGTGTGTGTACACGTGTGTTAGACTCTGGCTCCCTCTGCTGGCTCGACACTCTCTTTTTTACAGCTGGTAACCTACATTTCTCTTTACTGAGTTCAATGTTGAGTTCACAATGACCCAAAAAAATCACCAACAACAAGTGGCTTTACAAATTGCTTAATGGGCCACATTGTGTGTTTTCTCTGTAAATAGCAAATGTAATGTAAACATGTAATTTCCTAATTGTAGGAATAATGAGCAATAAATGCATCATGTAAAGTGTGATTTCATTTTGCCTTTCTTATCTGCAGAGCAGCACGTAGCCTAAACTGGTCTGCAATGCTTTGATAAAATGATCAAAATTTTAAATAATTTATTTAATAAGAACATGCAATGGTGAGATCTTATCCAAAATTTGAATTGCATTATCAGTCCAGTCTACTGTTTGTGCTAATGTGCACTGTGGGAAAATGCACCATACTACAGCACAGCATCACGTGAGCGGATAAGCACCTTAAGGTGGGTCCTGCTTTAACACCTAATCTGCCTGACCTGTACTAAAGTCTATAGTTTTAAAACTTTAATTATTTTTGTTTTGTGTGTACATGTTGCATCTTCCTAAATTAATGTAATAAATCAAATTACCAAAAAGCAAATTTGGGGTCTGGTACGTTGAATGGGGGGATTTACAGCAGCCCACAGCTTTTTCTGTCCTTGGCCTCCTAACAAATTAATCCTGCCCTGTCCATATGCTCCTTTGGAGTTCAGACAAAAATATCCATACATTTTAAACCCTACAGGCTCCGACCAGACCACCACATGAGGGCCTGTTTAGAAGCTTAACAAACTCCGAACCAAACCCTAGACTCTTAGTTGATAACCCTGAGATGGGAAACACAGCATGTGCAAAGTGAAGCTCTGACACTGCAATTCACCATGGCAATGGATAAATAAGATAAGATAATAAGAAGAGCAAAACCTCCCTTTGGATCTAGTGGAGATAGAAAGATGAATGTGTGGTAATACACATTTATTTTTTTAAAAACACAGTAGCAGCAGGAGCAGTGAAAGAGCCAGAACGGGAGAAAAGAGTCAATAAGTTTGTATATTTTATTCAACATAGTCCTCTAGACCATTTATTTAGCAGACTTTAATTTCCTTAATGAAATGAAGTGATCTCAGTTCCACAGTTTCCCTCATCTCAGGGTTGAAAAACTCAGGGTTTTCTCTAATCCTGCTTTCTGAAACAGGGCCAGATGTCAGCTTCCATAGAACTGACAGTCAACCTCAGAAATATGTAGAGTCAGGACTCACAAACTGCCTGAACATGCCACAGGGAGAGAGAGCAGCTCCAGACCTGTTGCACTGACGTTAAAAGAGCAGTCTGACATTTTATCAAATATTTCTCTGTCAGAGTCACATTAAACCTGGTGACCCCGCCATGAGGACAAGACCTCAGCTCAGCAATGCTGCAGAACAGCTGCTGAAACAACAATGTCATACATGTTTCTACACCTGTTCAATAAACCAGACTAAAGTGTTCAGGAAGTCCTCTGAGGTTCAGTTTGTAGATGTTGTAGAAATTCTGTCCAGGCCCTCTTACATTATCTGCTCAGCTCTTTAATTGACACCAGAGGGGCGTGTCCAACATTCCTGCCGCAAAGACACTATGACTTTGGCTTTCAAATTAAAAGCCGAGCAGCAGTTCTTTCAAATATCGATTCAATAACATTTATCTGTGCAACAAAAGCAATAAAATGAATTTTAAATGGATGCACCGTGCATCCAAGAAAAAATACAACTAAATAAAATTTAAATGAGTATAATAAAAAGAAAAAAGGTGAGATGTTACATGTTGTAATTTTGAAGACAAACATGCAAAAGCATGACATGATTAAAACCAAAAACCAAATGACATATACAATATATATAACCCATACACACAATCTGTTTCTACTTTTACTATTATTTTCTATTTCACTTAACCTTGCATACATGGTTCGACTTTGATTTTGAAGGTTGACTGGAAGTTGTAGCGCCGCTACAATGCTGCTACCGTTCAGTAAAGGATCTGGGAGGTCGTCTGGGCTTATTAAAACCGAACTGAAGTGAAATTGATCAGAAAGCAGCAGGATGAACAGCGCAGGTAAGAACTGACCACAATCTCACACGCGTGACAGGGCACAACATGGCGAGGGACATACAGTAAAATCGACCACAGCTCCACCCGGCTGCTGCAGGATACGGGCGGAGCAGCGGCAGATAGTCTGCACGGAGCCTCCAGCACACACTGTGCTATTTAAAAAGGAAATGGTCATATACTTCCTCAGCACGGTTTAAACCTATCTTTAGTCTCTTAGTGTAATTTTAGTCCATGTGTAACTCCAGCAGTTTTTCATTTTCATGTTATCTGGTCTAGACAGAAAAAAGATTTATTATGCTATTTTCATAACTCCACTCATTCTTTTGCTGATGTGCTGGACAGTTTAATAAACGTCAAATAACAGTATGCAAACAGTTAACATCTCCAGAGTGATGGACTGTGCATAGTGCCAGTAGGATCATATTGAAACAGAGAGAAATTATATTGACATAAAAAGAAATACATAGGTTAGGGATAATGTGAAGTACAAAAACAAGCAAAAGTAAAGGTACAATGTAGTGACGTTTTAGAAAAGTAAAAGTAATTAAAATGGGATATGGAACAAAATATTGAGAAAATTAAATGCAAAAAAAAAAATCTTCAGTTTCTCTACCTCCTTTCTTTCCTTTTTGCCTCCTCCTTTTTCATTCAATTTCTTCAATCCTGTGGGATTTCAACTGATGGAAACGAGTCCGCATTAAGTGCTAGGGTGTGGTGTGGAGGTGGTGTAGTCTAAAAAGTGGTTTTCATTCTGCTGTGACTCTGCTGTCCTGACTTCAGCGTGGACTTTATTCCACCACTGAGGGAGCAAACAGAGAAGCGTCCTGACCAAGCCTCCTCATCCAGAGGCAGAGGAGTGCGATGTTCAGGCGCTAATGTGTCTTTGACAAAAATTTATCACTGTGGTTCCACAGTTCAAGTTTTAACAGTCTGCTAAGAGATTTTCACACAATACTGAAACTAATGGAAACCAATGGCTGCCTAGAACAGTAGAAACTAGAATTACCACCTCACGGTCGTATGCCTCCACCACTCACACTAGTTTAAGGTGACATCTCTGTTTATCCAGAATCATGTAGAATATAAACCGTTTACGCGATCACACTGACCCTGACCTTTGACCTTTGTCCACCAAAATCTAATCAATTCATCCTCTGAGAACTCGATATCTCAGTCACACCTAGAGGGAACTTCTTCAAATTTGGTACAAACATTCACTTTGACTCAGAGATGAATTGATTAGATTTTGTTGGTTAAAAATCAAAGGTCAAAGTCACTGAGACCTCACAAAATACGATTTTGGCCACAACTCATAAATTCAAACACTAATTATGATCCACTTTGACACAAATGTCGAACAGGATAAAATTATGAAGTGTTGACATTTTATATCCAAATGGCCAAAGGTCTGTTTCACTTTGACATCATAATGTTCTGCAAAAACACCTGTGGCCCAAGATAGCAATCGCACGTTCAAGAATATTTCCTGCAACTTGAATTAGTCATTTCTGTTGCATTTGTCCCATGTGGGTTTGATATGAGTGTACATGCTAGATCTTTGACATGTGACCCTGTGAACTACCTTTAATCACACCAGGCAGTGTCTTGCACAAAGTGAAGATTTCTTTATGGAAGTGAGGATTGAATTCCATTGGTTAGCTGATAATGCACGCCCCAAATCGTGGGATTGTGATGATTGCATTCAAATGAAAGTAATTCGATGAACTGTGTCTTTGATGTTGCTGGGACTGACCCTGACACACTGATCAGTCTCTGTTCGTGTTTCCTGAAAATAAAGCTTCCCTGCTTTTTTTCACTTGTGGTGTGTCTGGTTTCATTTTAACCCCACCGCCATTTAAACTTGACTTACTGGAACAGCTGCAGGGACTGTGTAAGGAGGGGGACTTCCGCAATTCCAGCGAATTTCCAGCAGTCCAACTTAGTCGAGTTAAAACTATTTCTGTATGTTGGTACTATTCTGGTTTCATAATTTTTCTAATTAAACCGGACCATGTGAGGAAATCCTTCTCAACAACAAAGATGTCCAACAGATGAGATTTAACTAAATAAGTCCTACTCTTTATTGATACCCATAGGGGAAATCAGTTCGACAAAGCAGCACAAAGGAAAGCCGGTAACATCAAAGAAATTTCCATAAACAACGAAACGTGAAACATGATTATAATAATATAATTATTGTAATATTATTATTTATATATATATATATATAATAATAGATGCAATAAAAATCTGTGTGTATATACATGTGCAATGCTCATGTGTTGTACAATATCTATGGTCTGAGTCAGTGTAGGCCAGGAAGTATTGGGTGCTCTGGCGTAGTGGAGTGTGATGGCTGATGGCACGAGGGTGCCATCAGAAGTGACATGTAGCTGCATGAGTTTGTGAACTTGCTTCTGAGCTGAGTCCATGCTCTTCCTCATCTCTGAGAATATTAAATAATGTCAGTGAAACTGTTCATTTTAGTTGAGTAGTAGAATTAATAATTTTTACATTATTTTTGGAGACTCACTTAAACAAAACCTTAATTTTTAACAGGTTACATTTGGTTAAAACGAAACATCAAACAGGAGTCACTTGAAATCACCTCTTATTTCTCACTTTTTTTTGTTAGGGGATTTGTGGTACTTTCCATTTTACAAAATGAATAACCCCTAAATAACCCTGTGACAAGAGGCATGAAAAATCCTTAAAAGAACTAGTTTTAAATTTTGAACAATGCACTTATTCACTTTACCAGCAGAGACGAATCATTTCTGGATTTATGTTTCTGCACAAAAGTGGCAATAGACAACTTTCCAATATAGTACATTTCACCACTGCTCATTTCACCACACGACAACGGTTTGTTTAAAAGTCCTGTATATTCATGCTCCACCTACATGGGTGTTTTCACTTATTAGCCCAAACCTCCTAAACTGTCGAACTGAAACTCAGGAAATAAACGCAATTGAGGTCGGGTATTTTCCGTTCTCTGTACTGCTTTACACTTCTTCGGGGGTGTGGTGTAACGAATGTTTCCTTTTGTTGTTTATGTCAGCTGTGTACCCCCCCCTCTCCGCCCCCCCGGCCAACATGTTCAACAGCGTGCCTGGTTATGAGGATACTGTGGCAGGAGGAGGTAAGTGATCTCCAAACCACAAATCTTCACACAATATTCATGTTGTTGCAGCTGCTAAAATGTGTTGCTGTTGCTGCAGGTGGTTATCTGCCCCCTCCCATGCCTGTGCAGCCTTCAGCTCCTCCACAACCTGGCCTTGTACCTGACTGGAGGTAAGACCTGACATCACCTGCTTCACTGAGCTGCTCATCAACCTGTAGCTACAAGCCAATCACAGATAGCGGGATTCTCATGTTGCTCTGTGTGTGTGTGTGTGTGTGTGTGTGTGTGTGTGTGTGTGTGTGTGTGTGTGTGTGTGTGTGTGTGTGTGTGTGTGATGTAGCATCCCATCACTGCCGGAGGATTTGGCTCGTGGGGCGTTCAAGGAGTTTGCGGGATCTCATTGCTGCTACAGTGCAGGTCCAGCCAATGATGGAGTCATCACCAGCATGGAGCCGTTCAACACCTTTAGGGTGATCTGATGTTCACACTGTTTAACTGGTGGTGTCGCTGGCTGCTCAATTTGTTACTTAATGACGCTCCACTCGGGTTCTGTCTGCCTCATCAGCTGATCTAATACGGTCCAAGTTAATTTTACAGAAAGCTTCTCCTTAATCGACCCTTAAAGCTGAGAGGTTGCTTCATGACTTAGACCTCATCATGACCATCTGGTATCAACGTGTGATCTGTAGCTTGCCAAGCTTGAATCAGTGCTTTACACAGCAGCAACTGATTATATGATAAAGCAGCCAATACCTTAGAATACTGGAAACAGCTGCACTATTCATACACGGTCGATCTGATCGGACAATCTGATCACATTCTGCTGCATTAACATCCAGATGTTCATAGCAGGTGGAGATGAGGTAGAAGTGACACACTAGCTGACTCTGCTGTCCGTTGCTCTACATGTGAAGGACAGGATGTGTCCACAAAGAGAGTCTGATGTGACCTCAGATAGTTTTATTTACACTGATAACTGGGATTGTCTCATTAATCCCAGTTATCACAAATGTCAGACCTATGAAATGCATTTTTGATCTCCCAAAATCAGCTAACCTTAGCAATCTTATCAATATTACTCCAGTCACCACTACCCCACACAGAAATGCACCTCAAATATTAAGAATGGCTCTTTTAAACGTCAGGTCACTCACAAATAAATCCTTTTTAATAAATGATCTAATTAGCACCCACAGTCTAGACTTCGCTCTGCTCACTGAAACCTGGTTAGATAGAAATGGTGCAGCTAGACTCATTGAGACTGCTCCTCCCAATTTCAATTTTTTTCACACCACCAGAGCAAACAGGAGAGGTGGTGGAATTGCTGCCGTCTTTTCCGACATTTATAGCTGTAAGGACATCTCTCTCGGCGAATATAACTGTTTTGAATACTTAGCAATATCTGTACACTGTAAAACCTCAATCTTAATAGTCACAGTCTATCGTCCACCTAAAATGAAAAGTGGCTTTCTGGAAGAATTTTCTCAACTACTAGCCAAGGTCTCCACCGACTATGACTGCCTTATCTTATCAGGTGACTTCAACTTTCATATTGACAATGAAACAGATCCAGATGCCACTAACTTTTTGAGTTTGTTGGAGGCATTTGATCTCTCCCAACATGTCCGCGGACCCACCCACAACAAAGGACACACTTTGGATCTCGTCATCACAAAAGGACTTAATATTACTACACCATGTGTAATAGATGTAGCTTTCTCTGACCATTGTTGCATATATTTTAATGTATCTGCTTCTTCTGTATACCATAATGGTTCTCGTACAATCAAAAAACGCATTATCAACAACAACACAATTGAAAGTTTTCAAGGAACCATGAATAAGTTGTCACTGTCCAATGTATCGTCAGCTGGTGATCCTGTGGACAGTTTCAACTCAAAAATACAGAGTATCCTGGACAACATTGCACCAGTCAAAACTAAATATGTAGAAAAACTAAAAGCTCCATGGAGAACTAGGGTAGAGGTCAGTCAGTCTAAAAGAAAGTGTCGCCAGGCAGAGCGACAGTGGAGAAAAACAAAACTTAAGGTTCATAATGAGATTTATAAGGACAAACTGAATGAATATAACAAAGCTATTAAACAAGCTAGACAGTCTTTCTTTTCTAAAATTATAAATGAAAATATCAATAACAGTAAAGTACTTTTCTCCACTGTTGACAGACTCATAAATCCACCATCCACCATCCCATCACATTTGGTGTCTACAGAAAAATGTGAGCAATTTGCTTTATTTTTTGATAGCAAAGTTAACACAATCAGACAAAACATCAGTGCCCTCAGACCAAAAAATGATCCTCTCCATCCTCTCTCCAGGGGCTCCAGTTGTTTTATGTCTCAGTTTGACCGCTTAGATCCAACAGATCTCTCTAATATTGTTGGTCAGCTCAGGTCCTCCACCTGTTGCTTGGATCCTATTCCAACAACATTTTTTAAAACCGTCTTCAATTGTTTAGCACCCGAAGTTTTAAAAATCATAAACTGGTCTCTTCAGTTTGGGATTTTCCCCACATCACTTAAAACAGGCGTCATAAAACCACTCCTGAAGAAAAAGAATTTGGATCCAAATGATATAGCAAACTATCGGCCCATCTCCAATCTGCCATTTCTTAGTAAAATACTTGAAAAAACTGTTTACATTCAACTCAAAAAATATCTCACATCAAATAGCCTCCTAGATATTTATCAATCAGGTTTTCGTCCCCACCATAGTACAGAAACAGCTCTCATTAAAGTAATAAACGACCTGCATATAAACACAGACTCCAAAAAAATATCCATTCTTGTTTTACTTGATCTCAGTGCTGCCTTTGATACGGTTGACCATAAAATTCTGCTAGAGAGACTCGAGAAATGGGTGGGCTTATCTGGTCCTGTTCTTAAATGGTTCAATTCATACTTACATGACAGGAAGTCGTATGTTTCCATCGGCGACTTCTCTTCCAAAAAAAAGGACGTCACATGTGGGGTTCCCCAGGGGTCAATTCTTGGACCATTACTGTTCAACCTGTATATGCTTCCACTTTCACATATCATCACTAACCATAATGTTAATTACCACAACTATGCAGACGATTCGCAACTCTACATTTCTCTATACCATGATGACTTATCTCCCATACAGTCCCTCACCCAATGTATAAGTGACATTAACAAATGGATGACTGAAAACTTCCTGCAGTTAAATAAAGACAAAACAGAAATACTAATCTTTGGTGCACAGACTCAAAGACTGAGAGTGGCTGAACACCTCAAGTCCCTCTCCCTGGAGAGTAAAACTGTTGCAAAAAATCTTGGCATAATCATGGATAGCAATTTAAACTTCAGGAGTCATATTAATCACATCACAAGATCATCTTTCTACCACCTAAAAAATATATCTAAGTTAAAAAGTTTTCTATCAAAATCTGACTCTGAAAAATTAATTCATGCATTCATAACTAGCAGATTAGATTACTGTAACGGCCTATTCACTGGCCTCGCAAACACAAGCATTCGACAATTACAACTAATTCAAAATGCAGCAGCACGTATTCTCACTGGTACAAAAAAATATCAACACATCACACCCGTTCTTAAAACCCTGCACTGGTTACCCGTCAAAAAAGAATAGATTTCAAAGTCCTCCTGTTAGTTTATAAAGCACTAAATGGTCTTGCACCTCAGTACCTAACAGACATGCTAATTACCTACACACCAGTAAGACCCCTCAGGTCCACAAACACTAGTACACTAGTCATTCCCCGCACCAAAACTCAGGAAGGGGAGGCTGCATTTTCTGTTTATGCCCCACGCAGGTGGAACAGTTTGCCTGAGGCAGTAAAGACTGCCCCGTCAGTCAATCTTTTTAAAAATAGGTTAAAAACTTTTCTCCTCTTAACAGCGTTTGATTGAACGTGTGTGCGTGTGTGTGTGTGCGCTTGTCTACTCTGTGCTATTTGTATTGTTTGTTATTGTTTTGTTGTATGCTGTAAAGCGCATTGTGTCTGCCTTGTGCATGAAATGCGCTCTATAAATAAAGTTAAAGAAAGAAAGATGACTCTCGCATGAGTGTCATGTGACCTCAGACTTCCATGTGACGTGAGGTGAATAAAACTCAGTGGTAGAAATGTCTAGAACCAATGAAGCCTCTGTTAGCTCGAATCTATTTGAATGTATTCATTTATTTGTATACTGACTTGATTTGATCTGTTCTCTAGTACCGATTGGAGACATTCACTGAGTCCAGGTCAACTGAATGGGCCCACAAACCTTATGAAGGTACACACACACACACACACACACACACACACACACACACACACACACACACACACATAGTGGAACTAAGTTCAAAGGAACCAACATAGGGAGGGCCATCACCTTTCCTTTGTTGAGCTAATTCACCCGGAAATTTAAAGTTTTCTTTCATTTGCAGTTTTGAAATTTTATATGGTTAACATTTTAAGTAAAGTATATGACCTAAATAAATAGTTTGACAGACTATTTACCACATCTACAACATTACTAGAGCCTCTCAGGGCCCTGCCCTCCCTCACAAGCTAATCTTATGTTGCAAGTGACGAGGCTGCACTTGTTGGAAGCTAATTCACCATTACACTGCGAATAAAAGTTGACACCAGTGAAGTCTTATTCTGTAGTATTTTATTATGAAAAACAATAATATAGTAACCGTTTCTCAGTGAAAGGGCCAGAGTAAAATGGCTTTCCACCATCCAGAAGACAAACAGTCCGCAAAACAGTCAACATGTCATGAAATATGTATGTGAATTTGATTGTGTCTTGTATTAACAGCCTGTTTTCTAAACACTGATAAAAGTGTCCTTGATTGCGAACAGTTTTCCCATTAAGCTATGTGACTCGTGATAAACAGATTTTAAAAGGAATGGTCAAAATTTATGCATCAGAGGTAGAGATATCCTGAGTTTAAGTCTCTAATATAGATAAACTTCAAAAACGATTTCCCATAATGCAGTTTGATAATGTCTTTCATCAGACCCTCCCTGTCTGGTAAACACCCGTGTCTTTCAATCTCCACACCTTCAGTTTGTGATGCATGTTTTCAGTTTTAAGTCTGAAGCCATTAAGCCCAAGCTCAGATGACATCACTGTGACATCACTATAGCAGCAGCCATCTGGGATATTTTTAAAGATTTTTTGATTGACAGGTGATGAAGACATCTCTTTTGTGTGACTGACAGGTGAGCCGGCTGACTTCTACACCCAGACTGCACCCCGGCCTTGGGAGGTCCCGGCCACGGCCCCCAGCCTCTTCACCGATCACAAGCAGGAGATTCGGGTCCCCTACACTTCATCCATCAAGGTGATTGTTAACTGGAGCTGTCCGTCAAAGATTGCCTTGTTGCTATGGTTACCTGCTGCTTAATTTACCTTGAGTTATGATTTAGAACTGAGGTTTGAATGTTGACCTGAAAGCCAGTCAGAGAGCAGGATTCCCTGTTGCCGGGTAAATTTAGTATTTAGAGTCCGACTAATCCTGGGAAGGTTAGAGAAGTCCTTTAGAGAAGTTGCAGAGGTCTCCGAGGAAGTTCTAGTGATCCCTGAGGAGGTCCGAGGACGGTGAGGACATTCCAGGGGTCCTGACACAAGTTTAAATGCTCCTTGAGGAGGATCCACAGGGCCTTGAGGGGCTTTCATGGGTCCTTGAGGGGTTCCAGAATTTCTTGAAGATGTATTACAAGCTCTCCAGGAAGTTTCCAGGATGCTTGAGACAGTTCAAATTGTCCTTAATAAGATTTCAGAAGTCGCTGAGGATGTTTTATAAGAGGTTTCAGGGGTCTCTGGCTGTGTACCAGAGGTCCTTGAAGGTGTTTCAGTGGTCATTGAGGAGGTTCCAGTCCTTGAATATGTGAATGTTTGTTTTGGGACCATCTGGAAAATAGGATGATTCATTTGAAGGGGTTTATCCTGATGTGGTAAGACAGACATGTTCAAAGTTCCTTGAAGATGTTCCTGAATTCATTGAGGGTTTCCAGAAGTCATTGAGAAGATTCCATAGGACTTGAAAAGCTTCCAGGGGCCCTTGAACAAATTCCAGAAGTCATTAAAGCTGTTATAGGGTCCCTTGTTGAGGTTGTTGATGTCCCCAAGATTTGAGTACAAGAAGTTCTGAACAGGTTCCAGGAGCCCTGGAAGATCCTCTTGGGAGACTTGGGGGTTCCAGCATCCTTTGAAATGTTCTAGGGGTCTTTGAAGAGCTTCCATGCTGTCCTTTAGGAGGTTACTGGGGGCTTTTGAGGAGGTTTTATGTGAAAGCTCCAGGGATCCTAAATTAAATTAGAACATAAGGTAACATTGTGTGTGTGTGTGTGTGTGTGTGTGTGTGTGTGTGTGTGTGTGTGTGTAGGACTGCCAAGACTGCCACAGCACAGGGGAGATTCCATGTGAAGATTGCCATGGAAATGGATACGTAAGTATATATTTTTTTTATGTTAAGTTTACGTTTTTTTTTACAAAGCAACATTAAAAGTTTGATGTGGATATAAAATTAGAAACAAACAGATAAAAGTGATTAAATGTGAATGCATTTAAACAAGACATTTTCATATTTCTGTGTGAGTCTCTGTCTGTCTGTCTTTGTAGAAACAGTGCAGCTGGTGTAATGGCTCTGGGACAAATAATGATGAAAACTGCACTCACTGTAACGGTACCGGCAGAGACAGGTACTGCAGGGGCGTCCAGGAGTGGGTTTTTTGGGTTGTGACACTGAAATCTGAAGTCTGCTCATATCGTTGAGTGTTGTTCCCCTCTTAGATTTGTTTATAGTAAATCTATCCAGCTTTTCTCAAAGAAAAGTCAAAAAAATAGATGTATGTTTGGTAGCTGATACATACACGCATCTTTCTAATCATCTAATGACCCCTCAGATATATCTCAACACCCCTGACCTCGCGAATTAAAATTGAACTCCTTAAGATTTCAGTCTTTTTTGTCAAGTAATGTCAGGGCCAGTATCCCTGATATCAATACTGATATTGATCATTTTTATTGTTAAAAGCAACTAATGTACTGTCATGTAAGGCATCAATAGGCTACTTCTCAGTATCTTTTAATCACCACCGAATACTTTGTCAAACATGAGGGATTTCTTTTTACTAAATTACATGTTTAAACACAAGACGGTTTTAATGGTAAATAATGTGTATTCGTGTATTCGTATGTGCAGAATGTCCCATTCCCAAGTGCAACCAAACAAACTCACATTGTTGTAATAAAGACATTAATCAATAATAATTGCAGCCATCATCTGATTTTGAATTAGAGTTTGTTAGCTTGGTTGGCTTGTGGTTGCTCCTCCTTGTTGATACGCTGCATAAAAATGCAGCAGACTACTGTATTCTTGTTTTATAGATGTGTTTTTGATGAACATTCACAGTCAGCGCTATATACGCTGTGATAAATGCGCTGCGGTAACTGTGACTGCTTCACAATAAAATATTTAGCAAACCATGTCTCATCCAGTTCAACGCTTACTGTGAGGTAGCAGCAGACCTGGATACGGTGCCACCACTCAGGCTTGCAGGCAATTTTTCCCAGTGGCCTCTTGTGGTATTGCAGCGTAAAAAACTAAAAGTTTTGAACTGTTCCATAACAGAGTCACACCATTCTTTGTGTGTGTGTGTGTGTGTGTGTGTGTGTGTGTGTGTGTGTGTGTGTGTAGGTGCTCAGACTGTGATTCTCAAGGGGTGAAGAAGTGCACAACCTGTAAAGGAAAACGTCAGCTGCTGACGTTCATCCAGCTCAAAGTGGAGTGGTGAGTACTGATACTACAACTGTCGGTCTCAAAGAGTTTCCAGGGGTCCTTGAACAAGTTCCAGAAGTCCTTTATGATGTTACAAGGATCATTGAAAAGGTACCTGGGGTCTTGAAAGAGATTTCAGTGGTCCTCTACAGTCCCTACAGTCCTTGAATATGTTTCTGTGGTCCTGGAAGATGTTCTAGTTGTCCTTAATGAGATTCCTAGGTTCTAGGGGGTTTCCAGTGGTCCTCAAAAAGGTTTAGATGGTCCTTTAGAAGGTTCCAGGCGTTCTTTAGATGTCTGGAGTCCTTGAGGAAGGCTCTTAAGGCATTTTAAGTTGAGAGGGATCTTCGAGGGATTCCAAAGGTCCTTGGGGATGTTCTCAGAGACCGTGAAAGAGGAGAGAAGAGAGGTTACAATGAACAGTTGTCGTTCAGCAGGTACCATAGGCAGGGCCTTATAGAGCTGCCAGGGGTCATTAAGCATTCCAGATGTCATGTTATAGTCCTGTTGGGTTTGTTCCTTTAATGATATTTATAAGGGCCCTTGAGAAGGTTCACATTGCCCTCAAGGAGGTTCCTAGAGGTCCTTGCGGAGGTTCCCGGAGTCACTGAAGATGTTGCATTAGTCCAGGTAGATGTTCCTGGATGTATGATTATCTTGCAAAGCCTAGTGTGAGAACCCGATCATGAAGTAGAACAACTGGTACATGGGGAACTGAGAGATGGTGAGATGTAACTCTGTGAGTTTTAGTTGTTCTTTGGTAACATCAACAGACAGTTTCCCTTCCTCCGATACCAGTTTGGTCTGCCCGGCATAATGGAAGTGAATTTCACCAGTGTTGATTTCATGGGGCCTTAAAGGAGCTTGCAGGGGTTGTTGTGATTCCAGAGTACTTTCAATATATTACATTTGTCCTTTAAGAGGTTTCTTGTGGCCTTGAGGACTTTTTAATTGTCCATGAGGAGGTTTTTTGACAGGGTACCAGAGGTCATTGAGGAGGCTCCCTGAATCCTTGAAGATGATTCCAGGGGTCTTTAAAAAGCTTCATGGGTAATCAGTAGTCGTAGATGTTACAGTGGTCTTTGAGGAGGTTGTGGCAGTCCTTGAGAAGGTTCAGATGGTCCTTGAAGAGGTTACAGAAGTCAGTGAAGATGGTCCTTGAGGTTGCTCTACAGCTGGTACTAGATCTGATCACAGACCTGACCTAGTGGGCTGAAAGCAACAAACACTGAACCAGATACAAAATTAATTAATTTGGACAGTGTTGTCATTGATGACGCTGGTTCCCTCTGGTGGCATAAAAGTAGAACTGCATGTGAATTTGAATTGATGCAAATACATACTGTACACTATTTAAAATGTTTTAAAAACTGATGAATGAAATACAGTATGTGTATTTAGAACAGTATGTGTATATACAGTATCTTTTGTATGTGTGTGTTTGTGTGTGTTAACACAGGCGTGGCCAGTGTTGTTATACTTACACCTCATTGAAAGAATGTACTGTTCTTCCTGAAATGTGTTGAAATTAAAAGCTCTTCTGTCTGTGAAACATAAGCTGTGAAAGGAGCTGAATTTTTCCTTATTCTGCAAAGATCCTGGACAAATAACCTGGACAAAATTTGGTACCCTTTAAAAGCGGTGATAAATTAGCAGGTTATAGCAGGCTGTTGCCTTCAATCAGTATCACATGTGTCTTCAATCTTATAATCAATCATTCAGCCTATTTCAATTGAGAAAAATGCTCATTGGGCAATCATTACAGCTGCAAGGGAACAAGACAAGAGAAAGAAAAGAGTATTTTGAGGAGACAAGGAAGAAAATAATTGCCAACCATGGTTAAGGTAAAGGCTTCAAGACCATCTCCAAGTACCTTGATGCTCCTGTGACCACAGTTGCTAATATTATGAAGAATTTGCCACAAAATATAAATATCAGTGCCCGAATAGTTTTGTCCATGCTATTTTCATTTATGTAATAAAATGTTACACTGAAAATCAAAAGCAACGTGTCTGTTCTGTTAAACCAACACTTTTTGCCACGTCTGTATGTGTTTATATGTGAATAAATGTGTTTATGTGTTTATATATTTGTGTATCTCTGTGTTTAGGACTAACCATGTAGAGGACCACGTGGTGGAGCAGAACTCTGGTCTGAAGGTTGACGATCTTCGCTCCGTCAGCGGAAAGGAGCTGTTCAAGAACAACCAGTTTCTGGTACGCACACACACGCATATGTATGTTGGTCTTTTAGTTGTGAGGACACTCAATGACATGATGCATTTCCCTGGCCCCTTACCCTAACCTTATCCATTACAAATAAATGTTAAGCTTCAGCCCTAACCCAGTCCTGATTCTACTGTAACTCTTAAACCAAGTCTTATCAATCAAACAGCCCTTTGAAGGTGTGAGGACTGGCAAAAAATGTGGACAGCAGTTTGTGTTACTGTCAGTACTGTGTGCCAGTCTCTCTGTCTGTCTCCTCTCAGCTCTACCCAGTGCTCGGATTCCCAAACCCGGCCATCGCTGAGGCCTCCGAGCGTATGATCAGAGACCACCAAAGCAAGTACTCCCAGACCTCCAGGATCCTGCAGCAGGTAGGCCACCTCAAGAGAAAATTATTGTAGCCCTCATAAAATATTTTAAGAAATTTAGGAGGAGGCAATATACAGTACTATGCAAAAGTTTTAGGCATTGAAAGTCAAGTGAGGCTTTCAAAACTAAAGCCATGAACAGTTTTTATTTATCAGTTAACACAAAGTGCAGTAAACAGCACCAGTTCTCCTCAGTACACTTGCTCACAATTTTTCAAGGTAGTTGGCAGGTAGGTTGTTCCACTTACTCACTCGTCCATTATATAATGTTTGCTACATAGAAGACTCACTAGATGATAAGTGCAGACAGCAGAGCATCTGCATCATGTGTGATGCAAAATGCATTAAAATACATGGTATCTTACAAGATGTCTTTTATGTATTATGTATGTTTTGTGTCCACAGAGAAACCTTTACTCTATTTTTGTCAGTTTGGGTTGTTTTAAGTGGTTCACTCTGTATGAATTGCACTATTGCCTGTGGCAAATTTCCCCTCAGGAAAATAAAGTACAGCTTATCTTATCTTAAAATTACCTTTTCTCAAACCAACAATAGCCCCATTTTTGTTATATCTCTCTCAAGTATTTGAAGAAGGCGTTTTTATCACTGTATGATAGGCGTTTTGATAATAATTTATGAAAACCTGCTGCTCAGGCAGAGGAGGAGATGGGTCACTGCACAGTCGGAAACATCTGAGGAGTATTATGCATGCCAGGCTCTCTCAGCCAACATTACTGCCTAACCTGTTGTGTAAGCGAGACAAATTATTCTTCTACAGCACTTTCACAAGACATGCCACAATTCATGATGGTCTAGCTTGATTGATGTAGGGTTCAGCTTCTGTACAAATGTTGAAAATCTGAACAGCACTACAAAATGGTTGATTCAATATAGTAGTGGGCGAGTGGATGTTTTGAACAGCGCCAGAGTCAGGCTGACTGTTTCCCCCTGCTTCAAGTGTTTATGCTAAGCTAGGTTAATCGCATCCTGACTCTTACCTAGCACACAGACACCAGACACAGGACTGACATCCATCTGAGAAAGAAAGAGTAGGAGTATTCCCAAAAATGTTGAAACTATTCCTTTAAAATTACTCTCTCTCCCTCTCTCTCTCTCTCTCTCTCTCTCTCTCTCTCTCTCTCTCTCTCTCTCTCTCTCTCTCTCCATCTCAGAGGCAGCTGGTTGAGTTGATCCCCATCACTAAGGTGAACTACAAGTGGAAAGGCGACAGTCACGTCTACTTTGTCTACGGCAACGAGCACCAAGTCAGCGCTGACAACTACCCAGCAACCTGCTGCTGTGTCATCCTGTAGACACACACACACACACACACACACACACACACATACACACACACTCACACTCACTCACTCACTCACTCACTCACTCATTACTGTCTATCTTTCATATTAGCCTCTTTGTCCTGGACAAATTTTAACCAATCACTGTACAGATCTTCTAAGATCTAAATTCTAATTCTAATTCTAAGTCTAGGTCTAACATGTTAATCCAGGGGTGTCAGATTTTTCTGTCGGGTCCAAGTATTGCAGATTAAGATACATACACATGCACATTGACACACACACACACACACACACACATTGTTTACTGTGGCCACCTGTAAAGTAAAAGGCAAAGCTGAAACTAAAGTAGTAAAAGGGAGAGTAACATGTGACTTTCTCCTTGTTGGCATCAAAGGTAAAACCACAGCAGCCTTTTCTGACATTTTGTCCACATTTCAATTAGAATTATTTGTATTAATTAGTTGTTCACATTCACAGTGAACTTCCAACAGTGTATTATAAAGACGCATAGTCTGAATTGTAGACTGTCCCCGCTAACATCAGTGCTCCTCACTAAAAAACAAAAAGATCCTGCAGCAACTGGATTTATCTTTTTGTTTTTGTACTTCCTGAACTTTCTGCCTAGTTCTGACTCTCAGCCTCTACCTCGTGTTAGGACGTTTGCAGTACATTTTGTCTTGTCTTTAATCTTTGACAGACCTGAATTGTTGATATCGAAAATTAAGATTTTTTATCAATAGTATAGAAGAAAGATCTTCTGGTTAAATCTGCCTCCTCAGAGTCCATTATCGTCTCTGTGTGGACACCTGTGTTGATCATCATGTCTCTGATGCCATGATCACTTACCAAAGATATTTTTCTTGTTAAAAAGCATTTCTGCTGAACAGTTAACCTCAAACACGTGCCAATATGTGCCATTTAATATCCTCAGTATTGAGTGGAAATCTAGTTTATGTCCAAAATGCTGCTGTTTCAAGAACAAGTAGAAGGTTTAAGGAAAAGAACAAATAGATGAAATGTGAGAAATGACAGGTGAAATCTAAGTAAAACATAAGAAATAATAAGGAAAAAAATAGATGTATGAAGTTTTAATCTGATAGGGATAGATATATATTAGGAGCTATATAAATCTTTTTATTATTATATGAGCAGGCGAACTCCACAGTGACTCATGTCATAAAATAACAATAGAAACTGTTCATCTGGTTTCTACTTGTGTCTTTCTTCTGTGGTTTAAAGGTAGAAACCACTTGAGTTTGTTTAAACTGTGGAGATCACCAAAAATCATACCAGAAACAAAGACTGATACTTTTTGATTTGTAAAGCCTGCCAGCGTTGAAGCAAAATTCATTTGCATGTCTGTGAAAATATTTTAATCCTCAAAGCTTGATGACATATTAACTGCTCACGCGGCTAGTTGGTGAACTTCTGTAAGCGGTGAGCTAACTTTTAACTAGCTCAGTTTGTGCCATTCATGTCTTAGCACATTACAGAGGTAACCATTTGTGTCTCTGAGAGATAATTAACTGAGGATTTCTGACACACTCACCGCTGTTCTGACAGTATTTTCAGAAACACAGAAGACTCTTCTGAACACCTGGATGGAAAAAATGTTATCTCTGCTGCATAAAAAAAGATTTCATTTAAAAGGACTATTTAACTGTTTCCCAAGTTGCGAATGAGCAGAAGATAGCAGGCTGCTGTCTTTGTTTTGATTCAGAAGCAGGTGCACAAACTTGAGGAAAGTCTTTTTGTCATGCAGCATACTGAATATTTTCTGGAAATACCTTCAGAACAACACTAACAGTAATTGCTATTGCTCAGTAGCAAAGATTGGTTTGTCATCTTTCCATGTTTACATGTTTACAGTTTAGTAAAAGCCTTACTTAGCCTAGGCTAAATGACATTATCACATTATATCCGTAGTTTGCAGCATAGAAATAGGTCTATATAAATAATATACCTGATGTTCTCACAGCTGTTTAATATCCATGTTAGTTCTTGTTTACGCTCTGAAGACTTTTTTTTAATACCAGTGTAAAACATTTCAGCAGTCGGCTTAATTTTCTGATGTTAACGCATGCTTGAATTCTCTGAACACAGTATTAGTTTGACTTTGGCGTCATCATTAGACTTAAATGGTGCTGAGTGGAATGTCTAAATGTCTAGCTGTTTAAATGCCTTAAAACCATTCTGTGACAAACAAATATCTCTGCTACTACTAACCTGATGTACCTGATGTTATTACTCCGTTTGTATTAGTAGAGTATCAGTTATATGTAATTGTTGAATATAAACTGCCTCTCACCTGCTTCTGACAGTTGTGCTCTAAGGTTGATGAATGCTGTAAAATGTTATCTGACAAATAATGGATAAAGGAATAAAGTAATCTGAATTGCTGACAAAATAAGATAAGAGAGAGTTCACCTCAAAATGAACTTTATCAGGAAGCTGGAAAAAAAATGAAAGAGGATATTTTCCAATAATAAACTGACAATGAATGTGGAAGTACAGAGAGTCACAGAGCTCGAAGCAGCTCAGTCACTTAATACCAAACATCAAGTAACTGTGAGAGGTTTGGGATCTAAAATTTTATGATCTCATCCAAAAACTCATGTTTTTACTTACTTATCTCAGGTTGACACCCAGGATTCTTTACTTCACCATGTTGGTAAATGCAGTTTCACAACAGAAGGTATTCATTTTAGGTTGAGTAAGGGCTGACGTGAAGAACCAGCTCCTACAGTTACTGTTGCAGTATGGGTTGTGTGTAGCAGGAGTTTCTTGTAATGTGCTTTGTTGCCACAAATTAAAATATATTCATGACTAGTGAAAACAAGTAAAAAGTTTCCTCCAACACCTTTGCCTCAGAAACGGATCAGAAACTGAATCGTCTTTTACAAGAGCAGTGTTCAACATAAGGAGAAGCTCAAAGTAAAGAGTATGTGACACAAATCAGCTATACGGAAGTGGGGTTTCTGTTCTGCTTTAATGGAAGTATTTCATGTTTCAGGCTTAATTTTACCCAACAAGATTATTTTTAAGTGCTTTTCATCTTTAGAAAGTCATTTTCCAAAAACAGGTGTTTGAAACCATAATTAGGGCGAATATACCTCAACAGTCCTTCATATTTAATCCAACTTTTAGTTCCATTTTGATCATTATACTCAATTAGACAAACTTAAAAGTCAAATTTCTTTGTACCATTAATAATTTGTACAGAAATTGGGAGATGGAGGACCGTTTAGGGACAGTTAGACTGGAAGAACTACTATTTTTGTACTTATTTGTGTATTTCCCCCCTAATTTTTGTAGCTTAGAGGTTTAATTTTTCAGTACTTTTAACATATTTCTTTTTTTGCGGCAGGTTACTGTGTTTTATTTGTTTAGTTTTGTGCAGAAGATGCATGATGATGTAGTTGGTGTGGTTTTGGGTTGTTTGCTTGAGCCATGTTTGCTTGTGTTTCACTCGTTATTACAGACTGACTGTTCTGTTGTCTGTTAGTGTCTGTATTCTCTGTCAGGATTATGCAAAAGTTTGAAATCTAATTTTAGCAGAAGTTACCACAAGGGGCCACCAGATCCACCTGAACTGAAACATTCAGGATTCACACTGTAAAGCTACATTCAACAGTATTTCATATCAACAAGGGATCACATGACTCTGTGTAATGTGAAACTACTTTGGTGTGTTTTAGTGAACATACATAACGTATATGGAAACTATGGAGAAGATAGTTGAGTCAGTTCTCTCTCTGTCTTTGTTATCTCTCCTGTGCCTGTCACTCATGCAGCTCGACTAATTCCACCAATCAGCCTGCAGTCTCACTTCCTGCTGCTGTTACTGTAAGATTAACATGCACAGCAACAAAACAACTATGCACATAGATTGTTGGAGATCTACATTCCTGTTGTTTTTCCTCTTCTTGGTTAAAAATGACGGTAGTTTCCTCCCTGTGTTTTATTTCCTGCATGAATCTTCCTCTGTCTGCTAAAAGCGAGCCCTGCCAGATAAACATGTGTCTGTCAGCTGATCTGAGGCTTTTAACATGTTCAAATTTGTCAGATAAACAAGGGAATCCCCTGATCACACTGAGTGATTTTACTAAGTTATTTTTCATGTGATTCACTCACATACAGAATCATTTGTATTTGACTAAAAAAATAATTAATAATTTGACAGTGAAAATAGGCAGGAAATGTGTAATACCATAGCAGATGTAGAAGCTCTGCCCTGTCAAATTTTTTGATTTGGGGAAGTTCATACTCGCGCAACCCCAGCCAACATTACTGTAGATAGTTTGCCAAACACATCAGTTAGTTATCATCCTTAAAGCGTTTTTCTTGTAACTTTAAATGTGAAACATACTAGCACCCACACAGGGTTATGGTAATGCAAAATAACTTTTACAGTTTTCCTCACCAGCTTCCCATATGTCTGTACTTCAATAAAAAAAAACATGCTGTTTCTCTATTTCAATGTTTTTCTACATGAACTGTGATGAACTTTGACTTTTCGTACCAGGAACCTGCAGGCTTCAGCTACAGGCTTTTAGCTTGACATCCTGTGCATAATCCCTTTTACATGATTCTTGTTTTGAAACTTGTCAGCTGTAAACATTAAAAAGTTGGCAATGTAATCAACAATTCATTGAGCTACCATCAGCTTAATTAAATAGATAAAATATTGATAGTTGTCAGTCATCAGTTGTGAGTTTCCTGAATCAAACTGTTTCAGATGATCAATGTATTCAGTGTCTGAAAGATTGGACAAATCAACAGAATAAAAACAAACACAGGAACGCACCACCTATTGATTTGTCAGCAAATAGTTGCTTAGTTACACATCCAGAAGTTACGGCTCAACAATACCTTTAGTTTTTAAGTCATGTTTCTGACCACCTGGCAAACATGAGTCCAATATTGACTCTGTTTTTGGTCTCCACCAACTTCTCATGGAAATACCTGGCTCTTCAGCTGATAATGCTCCACATTTAATAGCTAGAAACTGTATCTGCCGGTTGTTTGTTGCTGACCCGGTAGTATCCCTATGGGGTTTAAGAGCTATTTTTGCTGAACACAGCTGCATCGTGTGACTGAAAAACTTCAACAATGGATTCAATTATTTTTCATCAGGTGCACAAACAACTCAAATGAGATGGCCTTGTTGTGTAAATTGGATGTGACAGCAATTGTTTGCTCATGTGTTAGCAACACAACTAATTTATGTGGTGATAATATGTCAGCTATTGTGTTTATTGTTTGCTCTGATGCTCTTAATTGGAAAAAAAAAAGAAATTAAGCAGCTTAAAATTAAATCAAATGACAAAAACCACATGAAAAACGTGATGTAAAACTGTGACTACTGCTGTGATTTGTTTTTGTGATGCTAATGAAACAAAGCTGCTGTTTTTTTAACGTAATTTCATTTACATTTGTTTATTTCCCATATTTATCAGTTGATTGACAATTTTATGTGTTTTATGGTTAACTGTAGAAGGTCAGAGCCATTTAAAATGGGTTTTGGAGTTGTGTCAGACATAGTTATACACACCCACACACCAAACCGCATATAAATAAAAGTAAAAAAAAGAAAAAAGAAAAAGAAAAGTACCCCCCTCTCCCTCCCTCCCTCCCCCTCCAGGTCCTCCCCCTCCCGGGCGGGGCCTCGCTGCTCTGCATCACCACAGCCTCACAGCTCTGCTGCTTCACACAATGAGAAGAAGAAAAACCATCCGGCCGCTGCTGCCGCCTCATGTGAGTCCTCCTCGTTTTGTTTTCAGCGGAGCTTTGTGGTGTTTTACCGACTGTTTCCCGGGTCAGTGTGTGTCAAGGCCTCAGTACAGCTCCGTGTGTGTGTGTGTGTGTGTGTGTGTGTGTCGTGTGTGTGTGTGTGTGTGTGTGTGTGTGTGTGTGTGTGTGTTTGGCAGCGCGGTGGAAACTTCAGCTAGAAACTTCGGAAACTTCCCACCAAACTTCATGCAGTTTTCAGCTGATTTCTCCGCGTGTCGTTCTCACTCTGGTTGACGCAGTTGGTTTAGTTGGTTGGTTTGTTGTAATTTGGTGTGTAGCAGCGGAAAAGTGAAGGAGTGTGAGACCGACAAGAAGCAGAAACAGAGGAATAGGAGGAGGATCAGGAGAGGGGAACTACCTTCAGACTTTTGTCTCTACTTTCTTTAACCAATTCTTTGTGATGTGCTTATAATACTCGCATAGCGCTTACACACTGTCTGTTGGCTCTGCGGTGGCGTTACTGTAACTTCATATTTCTATAAAGTGAGACCTCTCCGCGATCACCACATATTGTACAGTGCCCCTATAATCTTATTTAGTGTGTCGCCAGCTCACAATTTGGGCTGTTTTTCACTCACTTCTACATGAACTGTTAGCTGCCACCCTGTAGTTATGTTATTGTAGGTCTGCTTAAATATAGCGTCTCCCTCAGTTTACCGTTATAACCCGGGCTGTAGTTTGCTGCAGCTTACGCAGCTGTGGTCTATTTTGACCTTTATTATACTTGACCCATGTAACTTAAGTTGGCCTCACCAAGTTTAACCTTTGTTTCCTTTAGCACCGCAATATGGAGGCTATGGCCAGTTTGTTTGGGTTTCCCTTTATGAGGGTTATAATTTTTAGTTTAGAGATGCAACTAACAGTTGCTTTCATTATCAGTTAAGCAGGTTATTATTTCCTCTGTTAGTCGATTAACTGTGTGTCTATAAACTGTCCAAAAAATGCAATTTACTACATCCTAAGGAGATGTTTTAAATGCCCTTGTTCTGTCCAATCATCAGTCCAAAACACAAAGGTATTCAGTTTATCATATGTGACAAAGAGAAGCACAATTTTTTTTTTCCTTTATAAAAAATGACTAAAACAAATATTCCATTGTCAAAATAATTGCTTATTCATTGTGTGGATGACTAATTGTTGCAGCTCAATCTCTATTTTATTTGTATTTTTTTTATCATATGAGAGACATCTCTCAGTATAAAGGAATACATTTCAACAGCAGCACAAACATCAGCTCTGAGAATACTCATCAAATGGAATTAAATCCTTACAAAAAAAAACACAGTTTCAACAAAAACTGAACATTAAACTTAAACTTTCTCCAAAGTATGTGAATTGATATTATTGTAGTACTGTTGAATTAGACTACCTCGGTTTTAATTAGGTGTACCTAATAAACTGGCAGCTGAGTGCATATGTGTCTGTTGGGTCTACGGAGACTTCAACTGTACGTCTGCGACCATCCATTATTGTCATTATCTTAATTAATTAGTCATTTGGTCAGTAATATGTCAGAAAATGACCCTGTCCCAATTCCCCAAAGCCCATGGTAACGTCTTCAGATGCTTGTTTTGTTTGATAAACAGCTAAAAAAAAAAACAACATATAGAGTTTACTATTGTAAAAGACATGAGAAAATATTCACATTTGAGAAGCTAATCTCCAATTGTGTACAATATTTACTTTGCTATATAAGTACTAGCAGTATGTCTATAACATTATAACCCTGGGTGTGTCTGTAGTATCCATTTGGTTTATTTTTATTATTTACAATACTTGAACTGTAGTTATCTCATTGCGTCCTCCTTCGTTGTCATGTTCACCACAGCTTCCTGTTCTGAGTAAGTTGTACTCTGCTGCTCTGTGGTGACTTTATTTCTTTCGTATTCCTATATAGATAATGTCTTTTTGGGACAGTTGTTGTTTGGCCTTTAGATTCTTCACTGTATTGTTGTCTCTTATAGTATTTCAACTGTATTCTAATGTGTCAGAGATACTCTTTATCTCTTTATTTCTCTTTTATTCATACACAACCACATACCACTCCCATAACATTTGTCTGACTCACAGATTGTGTAGACTCAGCTGCATTATTATCTCTTATGCCATCTGCCAGCACCTTGTAGTTATCTTGTTGAAGGCCTATTATACCATCTACTTCATAACTTTATGTTTGCAATGAAAATGCAGATAGGAAAAGATTCAGTAAAACATAGTTCCTCATTGGGTAAGTGTAGCATAGCTAGGAACAGAGCAGACAGGTAATAATACCAGAATACCTCTGGTTTATTTCGCACACCATCTCTAGTTTTATCTCTTTCATATTTACTCAA